TCCCTGCAGCAGTGCCTGACAACTTTTCATATGTATAATATTGATAACTCAGCATTTAAATTATTCAAGGTTGCTTGGTATCAAAATTTAGATAACCAAGACCTCATTATAAAATTTAAACTTTTTTTGTCCTTATTCTTCCTCCCTTTCTCTATGCCATTGTTTTTGCAGACATTTTTGTTCATCACATTTGAACAAATTAGAACCAGTGCCTCTTTAGTCATAACTTCCCTTCTCTGAAAGGCTCTTTTAATGGAATGCATTTCTCTATTCCAGTTACTTAATTTACTTATCTAGATTTATGAAGTTCATATTTACCTACAGTTTATTTTTCCTCTTCTCTTGAAGTCAGGTCTGTATTTTAAGCATAGTACTTATCCTGTTGGGCAAAATTATTGTTGTTGAAACAATTAATAGTTATCTGGCCCAGAAAAATCTTGCCACTTGAAATTTGTTTAGATTATTGGAATAAAATTTAGTATAAAAATATAAGCTAAAAATGGTATTTGTAAAAGTGTCCTTTTTTTAAAAATATTTTTTGCCTAAATATATGTATTCTGTATATAATTTGGGAATTGGTGTGTGTGTTTTTGTTTTGTTTTTGTTTTTTGTTTTTAATGTAAACTGAGCCAGCACTAGTTCTGAAGTAATTGTGGTGTCCAAAGCCTACTGCTCAGGTGCAGGTGAGGTTTTATGGTCCATGACAAAGATGGAAACTGCAAATATTTTCAATTATTAACTGCTGTGTATTTCTTTACCTTGGCTAATTTCAAGAATGTCTACCTGTCATCTTATAAGCAAGCATTCTAAAAGGATTTATCCTCTAAAGATCTTGAGTTAAAAAATTATCCTGAAAAAATATAATGAGTATTTCTGTTTACTGAAGTGACCCTGGCTATTTAACAGTAACATAGATACAGCTTCCAAATTACTTACTTGTTTTTAAGTTATGTGAATCTGGATGAAGTTTTAATTTGGGAGGATTTATATTATTTCAAAATTTGGGCATAAAGTGAGACTTTATTTCTTTTAAAGAATGTGAAAATTTGAGGAAAAGAGTAAAATATGTCTTAACTGTGTTTTTGGTAAAATGCATTTCAAGCTAGTTTTGAGGAAATAAAAACTAATATTCAGGGCTGATACTTAGCCAGTATAAACCAGTATGTTGATACAGATTGTTAAAATGTTGAAAAGCTTTCTTACCAGTTGATAGGCTGAATAGGATAGATTTTATTGTGTTTTAGAAGAATTGCTAATTTATCCTCATCTCCAAGTTATAAAGCATTTATTTCACCTAAATAGTTAAGTTTTTATTTTTTTATTGTAAAAATGTCCTCTTTTATAATTAGTAATTACTTTGATTTTATTTTTGTGCATGTCTTATGTAATTAGTTTTATTGTACAGTTTTGGTATTGATAAATTAGTAATAAAATATTAAATAAAACACCAAGAATGAAGAGATGACAAAGTTTTAATACATTTTTTAACATTCCTTTTAAACATCATAAACGTGAATCTTCTGAATCTGCAGGAGAACAAAGAAGAAATGATATTAATAATGAACTGCAGCTTGGAACATCTTCTGATACTGTGCAACAGTGAATACAAAATAAATAATTTGTATTTATGGAATGGAAAACAGCTTGATTATTTCAAGAAAAATATGACTGCCTTATTATTGCTAGTGCCATATTGTCAGGTGCGAATGGTGCTCCAAAGTTGTATCATTAAAATTTGAAAGTGCTAAACATTTACATATTTAATCGTGTAGCAATCCTGTTTTGTTAGTTTATGGCTCAAGTAAGGAAAATGTATTGTCATCAGTGAAAGAGAAAACTAATGAGTTTCACATAATGAAACATTTAAAATTTAAACATTACAATTTTCTCAGTGTTTATAAAACAAAAACATTTAGAATATATCATCATTGAGTTTTTAACTACCTGCTTTTTAGTTAAAATAATTGAGCATTTTCAAACATGAAATACTTGAGGAGGGCATAAAAATATATCAATATGACATGTTGCAATGGAAAACTTAAGGTGAAATAAGAAAATAGCATTATGCTAACAAAACAAGGTAGTAAAATTTTAATCACTATTGATGAAACATCGATTTCATATAAGAGTAATGTACTTAAAATGTAAAATTCAAGACTTTGATTATAGTTCAGGTTTTTTTATTAATAGAGGAATAACATCTGAGGTACTATATCAAACTTAACGATTTAATGTTTGAAAAAATGGTTTCAGTGAAAATATTAATATTAAAATCTTACTGGATTTTGTGTGTAGACAGTACCCATGTGATGCTTAGATGACAATCTAGAGTTTCAACCACAATTTTAGAAAAAATTTTCTTCCTTTATTTGTCATTGTATAAGTTACCATATTCAGTTTTCTGTGGATGAAGCATCAAAAGATTTAAATCAAGTACATCTCTTTTAACTCGTTTCTAAGTAGACTTTATATTTACTGAAACAAATGAAATCATCAATGAGAATTACAGTATACCTGAAGAGCTGGAAATTGAGATATACAATGGAAACTAGGAAGTCTTGGATCTAGATGGGCATCCTCTAGTGAGAGAGCTGCAAAAATAGTCTGACAGTTATATCAAGCCTCTGTATCTATTTTAGTTGACATTATGAAATGGGAGTAGTGAATATTTAGAAATTGAATATTTTTGAATGATATGATTGCCTTACATAATATTTTTAGTGGATTTGTCAATATGTTCTTTAACTTTAAAAAATTCCAGTTATTAAAATGGATTGAGTGATAAAACAAACATTAAAAATTGTTGACAATATAAAACTGAAATATTATAACAAAGTAAAGCTATTATAAATATGAAGAAAGTGTATACCATTTGAAGCAAACAAAATTAATACAATCAAACCAGTTAAAAACCATTCCAGGGCTTGGTTCCATGACATAGCATAACACACTGCTCAAGAGAAGCCAGAGCTTACATGATGATCATGGTTCCCTTCTCCAGCCATGTGTGCAAGTGCCCAAGATCCAAAGGGTTGGAGGACGAGACGAAGGAGGAGGAACCCAGTGTGACTGGACCCTGTAAAGGGTGCTCATCTCTTAGTCTTACTCACTCACTCACTGTCTCTCACTCTTACATGTGCTTGCGTGTACTCTTATCATGAATAAAGAAAAATAATATTCCAATAAACTTTCTGTGACCTAGTCAGTAATAAAAATATTAAGTATGAAACTATCAAAAGGTATTATAAGGGCTAGATAAATTTTGATTATTGTTTGGCATAATCCGAGAGAGGATTTACTGAACAATATCATTAATGTGAAGAGAAACTGCTCATTGAGGTGTCACTTACCAATTATCATTTTAATAAAGAAGTCATTGGAAAAGCCCTTTGTCCAGTGTTTGTTCATATTGTATCATATAGCTGAGGACAGGCATATAAATGAAAATGATAGCAATTTTTAAAAATGCTTTATAAATCATTTTATTTAAATAATTGGTGCTATGGCTTATGTCACTTGATAAGCATTTTTATAATATCCTTTGTAGCGATTATAAGGGAATATATGCTTGAAAGTTTTGAGTATGAGTTAATATACTGGCTATTAAATTTTTTTATATCATATAATAATCTCTATTTTTAGTAGCATTACACTTACAGCATTACAAGTATAGTATTACACTTGCACCGTAGATGTTACATTTGAGGTGATATCAAATGCCAGCATATAAACATGGAATTTAATAGAAATTTGTTTTTCTTAATTACATACCTAGTGTATAATGTCTTTAATGATTTAAAATAAATGGAAAGAATTTATTGGATTGTCTGGAAAGTCATGACTTGTTTTTAGATAGAAAAACATGTCATGGCTTTTCAGATAACCTAATAGTTACATAAGTTTGTCTAAGAGAATTGTCTTTGAAATATATTGGTAGACTTTTTAGACCTGAATTATTTTACTATTATTATTTAGTACTTCAAAGTTTTAATATGGGACAATCTTTTCCACATTCCTGTTTTTAAAATAAAATTGGAAAATTCTAGTATTTTTTGGTTCAGGAAACTGCATTAACTTAGAACCCAGTAAACCCTGAAAGCTGGTTCACAGCAATTACTAAGTGCTTGCTTTGTGCAGAGCACTTGACTGGGTTCTGTTCTTGATGCTGGAAATGGGACAGAGATCTACTAATGAAATAGATTGTTTAAGAAGTGATATTTTAGATGAGACTTAATGTATATTTCTGAAATATAAATGTGAAGTATCTTAAGAGCCTAAGGTTTTTTTTTTTTTTTTTTTTTTGAATAGTCTGGATCCATATCTTTGTCTCATCATTTTTATTGCTTCTCATTCTGTTATGTGACAAAGGTGAAACGTTTGCTTTGACTAGTTCTGCTTCTCTGGAAACTTTTAGACTGCTGCCTTTGAGTCGCTGGGAGATGGTTTTTCGTTTGTCAGGAAATATGTTCATGTTTGGGTTTAATACACATTAAGTATCACTGATCATGGTATAGAACTTCCCTATGGCAGAATGGTAAGCATTTAACCCCAAATATTTTGTGACTTATGATACAAAATGATCTTGGGAAATAATTCTGATCTCCAGAATATGAGACAACTATTAACAGAACATTTTTGTTTTAGGTTTGGATTTTCTTTCCCTTATTCCAGTTGATCCCCAGGTATGTATCCTGAATTTAAGCAACTAATTTGTATTTCATTGTCAGTTATGTCATAGTAATTAAAATTATCAGTTGCATAAAATCAGGACAGTCACTCTTAGCTACTTGATAAAAGGAAGTACTGTGTAAGTATTCCACAACTTTATTTGTAGGAATACATTTTCCTTGATATCTAAATTCTATTTTTTTAATGAGTTGGCATTTTTTTTTACAAGTACAAGTGATTAGAACAACTAGAAGCAGCACTAGATGCTTGTAGGTTGAAATTTCATGCAAAAATATTTAAAATCGGTAGGTAAAGTTGAAACAGACTTGACTTGTTATCTTGATTTTTAATTGTTTTTAATGACAATTAGATTCACACTTTAGAAATATCTCAATTTAAAATTGTTATATACCAGTCATCCCTATTTTCTCTGCCAAAGATAAGAAATTCTAGTATTGTAAGACTTCCAGCATGTGACGACTTAGCAGCAAGCTTGGGTTCCACTGACTGACATGTTAGAGGTAGAGAAGAAGAGGAAAGGCATGAGAAAAGGGAAACAGGAAAATAAAACAGAAATTAAGAAACATTGAGAGACATTTGTGAGTAGGGAAGGATTGAGGAGGAACCACAGACCACTGCTTTGTGGCTTCTTCAAGTCTCCTGACTGTAGGATGCGTACAGCCTTGTGTTTCAGAACTCTACATCTGATCGCACAGACAGCACTGGGCGTTTATTTGAGCCCAGCGTCCTGTGGTGCTGAGGAATGAATGCCTTTTCATCCTAAATTGACTTCATTACATCAGTAGATTCTACAGCGAAGGTTATCTATATTTTTCTAGGGAATAGAATCCTCAGGCTTAAATAACCTTTTTTTTTTTTTTTTTACTGTGAGCAGTCCTTTTTTTTTTTTTTTTTAATCTTGGAATCTAGAGGTTTTTATTTCATAGCTGTATTTGGCACATAAGTGATGGACTAACTTGGTAAGTCAGTAGAAGGATGAGGTAGTGCCTTCAGTTTACTGTAGAAGTCGTAGTTTTTTCTCTTGTATTTTACCTCCATATTGTTCTGGATCCCTGTTGTTCTTGTGCAAAATATGGTCATTATATGTACATAAGAGACACAGGGTTAGAAATAAAATGGCTGCATCTGAGTTACTATAAGAATTCAAGGCATGGAGCCCATTGATGGCAGCACTGTGAGATCTAGCACTCATGTTGTAATTGAAGAACCACCTTCAGTTTCAGTGGAAAGTTCAAAATTCATTTAGAAAATTTTAATACCTGATAACTCTGTTATCTTTAAAACGCTCTAGGAGCTCTTTAAAACTGTTTGTCTCAGGACCAGCAGTTGGCATAATGGCTATGTCGCTGGACTCCCATGTAGTCGACCATGGTTTGAATCCCAGACCCGGTGGCTTAAACTCATGCCGGACATGTGTGCGTGCGTGCCCAAGATCCCTAGAGGAGAATGGAGGAGAAGGGATTGCAGCGTGGCCATCCCCCCTGGCGGGGGGATGATTTCTCACTTTCTATCTTTCTGTCTCCATCTTTCTGGCAAACGCACACATCCTATAGAAAAAACTTCTCAAAAAAACCCAAAGAACAGAAAACTATTTTTCTCTGTTACCCAATGTCCCTAAGTGTGAGTTATTTGTTTTATTGATGAACTAAGACAGTTATCCATTCAAAAACATGTACTTACTTTCAAAGTCAACCTGAATTTTAATTGTTGCTCTTTCTCTGAATAGTAGTTGTTCCCATTTTATTTATGGGCCTTGAGGAGCTTGTATTTTAAAAGACTTCAGTTTTAAATTACTGTTTTTAAATTATTTCATTATGTCTAGTGATAATCTGAATAATACATAAAGGAAGAATAATCATATTTTTACTGATTTTTTAATACAGTTTACATAAAGACAGACTTAGGACCTCTTTTACAGTTATTAGACTTTGTTGAAGGAAGTGCAGTTTTTTCTCACATAAAATACTCTTACAGTGATAAAAAATAAAGCTTTGAGCTCTTCCCTCTCTGTTCTTGTCACTATTAAAATATTGCACTCAGGTTTGTATTTGTTAAGGAATCAGCAAATAGGATGGTAAGGGGATTCAAAATATAAATACTTGGCAGAGGATGGCAAGCAAGGATCATAAATTTAGATTAGATGAGATAGTTCTCCTTTCGAATTTATTCCAAAATTTGAAGATTACATGAGAAAATTCTCTGTCCTTAGCATCATGCGGTAGTTAGCTACCATGTAGTCTATTTTAGGATGAATGTTGTCATTCTAATTATACAAGTATTGTCATGTCTATGGACAAAGGAGTCCAACATCATCATCCCCCGATCAATCTTAGTATTATTCACGAAGGCGTCTGTTTTATACTTGGTTTTGAAAGAATTGTTGAATTTTATATCGGCAATTTTGCTTAATATCATTAAAAATAAGGTTTCAATTTTCAGAGAAGTCATGGTGCTTTTTTGCATAGAAAAACAAAAAACATACATCATGACATCTCAATATTTATTGAAATATTTTCTGACATCTCAGTATTTATTGGCCTCTTACAGTGTTACTTAAATCGCATCTCAGTACACTTATTGAGCAAATTCTTTTTGAGACTATGAGTTATAATTGTGAGGTCAGTATTTAGTATTAGATGGTCGGTTATTGTTTACATTGTTTGTACTTTTATGGTCAACAAACAAAGTTTTACGAGTTTCAAGAGGATCAAGATTATGCTTCATTCACTAAATAATGTAACGTAGTAAATTCATGCCACTTTTCACCCAAAGATGGGAAGTTTTGAAATCACAGTGGGATTTAAATATCTCTTGTGCATATCTAACAATATCTAGTCTTTCTATTTAAAAATCAATGTAGCCTCTTCCTCATCAGCATCATTGTTTGTTTCAAGCAGTACTGTCCTCCTATGTTTTTGGATAGTCTCACCTCACCCTTAACAGCAAGCAGTACGTCTGTCACCACCACCAGTCCCCATGAGAGCAGTACTCATGTTAGTTCATCCAGCAGCAGGAGTGAGACAGGGGTCATAACCAGCAGTGGAAGTAACATTCCTGACATCATCTCATTGGATTAAAGGAGGACTGACTTGATTCTGGGAATCATTCATCAAAACTGCTCTTTCTTGGATCTTTGGTCCATGGAAACTATATTTTTGGCAATTACTTTGGTATTTATTGAACAGTCATATGGATTCTTTTGCTTTCTGAGAGATGAACACAGATGACTGCAGCAAGAACCAAATGACATGCAAGGATTTTTCTTACTCGTGCTGTACTCTTAAGCGTCAGATACATTCAGCCATAATATATCTTCTTGAGAGATGGATTTCAATTTCATACGTTACTGGATGGAGTCTACAAATCAATTTTAAATTTTGTTATAATAAACAGCAATAAAAATTATGTAAATATTAAACTTTTTTTCTAACTAAAAATGATGTAATCACTGATTCTAGGATGATTGCAACTTCTGTTTAACCTGATGTGAAGGAAAAAAAATATGAAAAGAAGTTATGTTTGCTGAATGAGTCTTTTCCACGGAGATTTGTTCTATTTTGTTGAAGTAATGAAGTTTTTAATAAGTGGCCAAAGGTTGGGTTCCACTTTTCTTCCTGCAGTTCCACTTTTCATGATCGCATCAAAGAAAAATGATCTTTGGGTTATACATTTTTCCCCTGGTTATCTTTTACTCTTTGACATTGTTTGCTAACGAATGCAGAATGAAGTTCTGGGATTTGGCTACCTTTCATTAGTGATTGTGTTTAAGAACACTATGCAGATTCTGCCCTGACATAATGTGTGTTATTTTTGGTAACTGTACATTTTCATTCTAGAGTTTCCTATATTTTGGGGGCTTGCCTTTCTCAAAAAAAAAAAAAAATTCTATGCAGCTGTTGAATGAAATATTTGGAGAATAAGGTGTAGTAGCTAGCACATTTGTTAGAATTTTGTTCATACTGTGCAGGCAATATTGATAGCTTTGAGGCAGCAGAACAGATTGGGGAGGTGGAAAAAACAGTTTAATTTTTTCCTAAGAACTTAGTTTGCTCATTTGTTTTTAGAATAATATGCAAATCTTTGTTGAAACTTTTCATATTTTAGTAGCGCTTACATAGAAATTAAGTTTTAGGTCTCTGATAATATTTCTCCCCTTAGCAATGATTTTCAAACTTAGGGGAAAAAAACACAAACACTAGCAAAGGATGGGGACAGCATCATATTTCTTTTTTTCCTTTTCCTCAAAGGAAATCTTCCCTAAAACCACAGCAGGCAAAACAATTAAAAATGTTTGGATTAACGTGAGTGAGGGTTGGAGAGGATAGGCATTAGTGTCTCACTCCATGCCATCCCCAAACACTACAGGGAATCTTTTTTTTTTTTTTTTTTCTGGGAGGACTTGGAAAACCATTTTACTATAATGTGACTTTAAATCACTTAGGAAACTGAGTTCTACTCTTAGAAAAACATTTTCATCCAAAGTTTATAGTTTGCTTCCTTGGCTTCCTAAATAAGTTTTAAGTTTTCAAGGATTTAGTACTTACCGATTTTTCTTTGTAAGCTTTATCTATACTTGAAAAACAAGCCTCCCACCCCCTTTTTGTGGCTAATCTAATTGATTTTTTAAACAGAAATGTATTTTCAGTTGAGGACTCTGCAATTGCAGTTATAATAGGGCCACATTACTTCAGAGTTGGTAAAACTCCAGGGACTTGTCCCTGCTTTGTTTTTGGCACCTTCTCAAGGTTTTATGGCTGTTGTGTGCTCTTTTCGTACCTATTTAATTTTGTGTGGAATTTTGCATCATCCCTTCTTTGGCTACATCATGTCCTTATTTAATATATTATCCTTTGGGAGGGCTGCCTATTATTAAAAATGGGGGACAAAAAATACCCCAAATCTTACAGCAGTAGTTGCACCATCATTGTCAGTTTTACTTTCTTAGTCATTTTATTTCCAATCCATGTTACAGTTTGGTCCAGATACAGAATTTTTTCTGGTAAGATATATGTTGCTGCTCTAAATACAGATGCAATTTTTGTTGACTCTGTAATCAGATAGAAAAAGTAACCTGATTTGTGTAGTATAATTTGCTAATAAAGAAATGATGCATATCCTTTATCATTTTGTTACCCTTTAGCTTTTCAGAGACTCCCTCCTCCCAATTTAATCAACAAAGTTTTATAAGGTCAAGGAAAATATTAATAGATATTATTGACTTGGTTCTTATAACTGATATTTTTGTGCTTTTGTAGTTGTGATTTGTTTTTCACTGTTTTATATGAACAGATTTAATGGTTGGTGCTGTATACTGAAATTACATATGCATCTTAAATTTATCTTACACAGGTGACTAATGCTTTAAAAATGTTCTTTTAAGTTTATAATCTTACATTTGGGATTTACGTTTTCTATGTATCTTTGAAGGTGAGTATTTCTCTTTATGCTTATGGCATTACGTCAACGTCATTTTTAAGCCATTATCCTTTGTCTAATAGTATAACCAATCTTTTCTTTTTAACAAAGACTGACTTAGCTGTTAACTTAGATCCTGCCCACCTGCCCACAATTATCTGGAACATACTATTTAAGGGAAGTGCATAGTCTAAAACAATCACTTAAGCAACCTGTTTTTTAAATATTTTTCAATTTGAAATATTAAGGGCCTTTCTTGCTTTGGTAACTCATGACAGCATAATTGGTGCTGAATACAGCTTCATTTAAGGTCTGCCTTTACTCACTTAACTTTCTAACCCTTAGGTAAGCCACTTTAGGCTTTTATTTTTATTTCTGGCCAGAAGTTATAAATACTTAGCATCTGTCCTAATATAATTCTAAAAGCCAAAATGAAGCAATTGAAGTGAATTTAGGTTATGTAGCATTTACCTGATGTGTTTCAGAAAAACTACAATGAAATTACAATATGTAAGTAAGGAATAGTGATTATAATTAAGTTTATCTATAACCCTTGTTATAAAACATATATTCAGTGCAGTAGTTTTAAGAAATTTGAAGAAAGATCAGGTGTTGGATTTGAAGTGAATAGCATTGAACAAAGATTATCCTGACTTAGTTGTTCAGACCTTACAGACTTTCTGCCTTCAGACCGACCCTGGACATTCATCATTTAGTAACCAAATTGTCTTTATCTTCTGCCCCAAAATGTATTCATTATTTGACATTTGTAATTTGTAAGTGGCGTCAATTTTTACAAAACATTAGTTTAATTCTCAGGTACACCTTTCATTTCTTTCTAGCCTCTGATTACAAAAAACCACTTGGCTATTTCATCCTTTTTTCAATAAACACTTTTTTTTTTCCCACAAAGTTTTCTCCATTTTTATGGAATGTCATAATGACTTATTTCCAGCTCATTTCATCTTAGCAAATGTAGAGCAGTACACCACTTAAACTTGAGCCTGACTGGATTTAGTGGCCCTGGCTTCATGTGGTATGGAGCTTAGAGTTAAGTAAACTGGCAGCCCGACTGTCTTTTCTGCTACAGTTCTACATGAATATGGTAAAACTTGAAGAAAAGAATTGAAGAATTTCTCTGCTTTCTAAGAGTCTGATACTTCTGTCAAATAAATGACTGGTTTGTAACACCCCTGCCGCCACAACCCTTTCTTTGTGTTAGGAATCACACAATTCCTAAAAGAAACAAATAAAGCTGTATAAAAATGCCCATTCTTCTTTAATTCTTGCCTGACTGAATGATGTTTTTTTAATCTTTTCTGATTGTGTCAGTAGTATGTTCTCATTGTGGAAAATGCAGACAGTATAGGAAAATATAAAGAAACCTAACCATTGGCTGTAATTCTAGCACCAATTTTTTTTTAAAAGAAACAACGCTTAGAGCATTTTTTGTATTTCTTGCCAATTTCTTTGATATTTGTACGTGTATTTACAGTTTCATTCATTCATTTTTTTTTTTTTTTTTTGGAGAGGTTTTTGCTATAGGGCGCGTGCACTCGCCAGACAGACAGAGACAGACAGAGAGACAGAAAGCGAGAAATCACCCACCAGGGGGTATGGCCCCTCCGCAATCCCTTCTCCTCCATTCTCCTCTCGGGATCTTGGGCACGCACGCACACGCGTCCGGCGTGAGTTTTAAGCCACCGGGTCCGGGACGCGAACTGTGGTTGACTACGTGGGAGTCCAGCAACATAGCCATTACGCTAACTGCTGGTCCCCCTCATTCATTCTTAATATAATTTGTGTTTGTGTTCTTTCCTCACTTCACAGGCATTATTCCATATCATTGAAAACTATGTCAATCATTATTAATCACATGATACTCCACTGAATGGATGTGCCATGATTCATATAATCTTTTCTCATTGGACATTTTAGGTTGCATCTTACAGTGCTGTAATGAATGTCTTTGTATAAATTGTTTCCTTAGGGGACTAGCAGTTAGCGTAATGGCTGAGTTGCTGGACTCCCATGTAGTCGACCACGGTTCAAGTCCCAGACCTGGTGGCTTAAACTCAACGCCGGGCGTGTGTGTGTGCATGCCCAAGATCCTGAGAGGAAAATGGAAGAGAAGGGATTGCGGCGTGGCCATCCCCTCTTGGGAATGATTTCTCGCTTTCTGTCTCTCTGTCTTTCTCTGTCTTTCTGGTGAGCACACACACCCTATAGCAAAAACCTCTCCAAAAAAAAAAAAAATTGTTTCCTTAGGATAGATTGCTATAGGTGGAACTTTTAGGTCAAGGGTGTAAACACTTTCGTAGTTTTTAATTTTTTAAAGAATTACTCATTTTAATTTTATTTATTCATTCATTTATTTTAATTTGACCAGAGAAAGACAGAGAGAGAGAGGGAAAGTGAGAAAGCAAGCCACTAGGTCCAGGATTTGAACCGTGGTCAGCCATGTGGGAGAGTCCAGCGCCTTAACCACCATGCCACCTGCTGGCCCTGTAGTTATTTTATTCATACCACTTTTCCAAATGGTTATGGTAATTTATTTTTTAATCAAATATTATGCCAAGAGTGGCCTAGTAAATATTTTCCAGGAACACAATATTTTATCTATATGTGGGCATCTGTGCTAAGATCCTCTGTACTGACCCTGGTGAACTAGGCTAACTGATTTGCAGGTAATTTGCAGAGATTTTTCTCAGGTACTCTGTTGTAAATGTTTCTATCTGGCATGTAGATGTCAAAAACAATCCTCTTCTTTTTTTTTTTTTTTTTTTGCATTTTTATTTACACTGTAAAATAATGCAAATATTTGTAAGATGACATTTGCCATTAAAAAAATCTCATCACTTTTATAAAAAGACCATTTGTGCCTAGGGCTGGTCCTTAATAGCCCGTTCTCTTATTACTTTTCCTGTAGGCTCCACGTTGGCTCTCCAGAGGCAATAGGATCCACTGAGCCAAAGTCAGTCCAACTCAGCCTGGAAAAGTGATAAGGCTAAAACAACCAAACAGAGCCAGACTTAACCTGTTCACTTTTTAATTCTTTTAATATTTCCAGTCAGATCTTACTCTTGGTGTTTTAAAGATTGCCATGGGGAAAGACTAATTGCTATCTTTATATGTTTGAAAGAGCATTTTTTTTTTTTAAATTGGCATGGTATAACAGTTCCCAAACTATTTTTCAATGACTTCTAAAGCTTGCTCTTTTTTTTTTTTAGTTGTTCTTGAAGCTTAAGTAAAAAGGAGTGTTATGATGTTGCAAAGTAGATAAATATACCCCTTATTTTGACCTTCATCAAGGTAGTCAACAAATGTTTACTTACTATGTTGTGGAAGTGTATGTGGGATAGAGTAATATAAAAGATCTGGTCCCAGACTTCAAAGAACTTATAATCAAGTTTCCAAAAATCACTTCTTCCTTAGTAACAGGCAGTGTGCTAACAACTTAACCAATAATGTCTCATTCTTTGCAACAGCCCTTCAGAGGAACATAGTACTCTCTAGTTTACAAAAGAAGAAAACAGATCAGCTTCCTCAGTCACAGTATATGAGTATTGGGCTTAGGGGTCTGGCCTAGGCTTCAACTAAGCTGAAGTGATGTTAATTACAGTATTTTGGAGACTAGTATGGGGATCTAGACATGAAATTATGTTATCTCAAGGCTGGGTAACTTGAATGATAATAGTGTCATTTGCAGGGATGGGAGGCAGAGTGAAGATTATTATTTAGGGGAGGCAATGAGTTAGGCATGGGATTTCAGAAAGGAAGGGTCTGAGGCTCAGCCTGGTTTTCCTGCAGTCTTTTGCAGAAAGCACAAACTTCTCTTTAAACATTTTCACCTTTATTCATCTCTTTTATGTATTTTGATCACTCCAAGTCACCCATCCACTCTTTTCCTTCCTAAACCATGCTTGGCTACATCTCAACTTTTTCTCCTTTTTTCTCCCAAAGTTTTGCTATAGGGCACATACTTGCGATATGTATGTGTTATGTATGTATGTATATGTATGTATGATCATCTGTGGACGTGACCATGCTGCAATCCTTTCTCTTCCATTGTGCCCTCAGAATTTGGGGCTTGCACACACACACACATGTACCTGGCCTGATAATTTTTCAAGCCCAAGATGAAGGATTTGAATAATGTATTTAGCCATGTGGGATCCTGTACTTATTAATCTCCATACCACCTTCTGGCCAATCTTAACCTGTTTCTCTTGATTATTGTCTTCCATGCCTTGCCATAACAAATTTGGCTACCACCCAAGGTCCTGCTATCCCTGCAGCTTTTGTCAGTGTGGGCTGTGTTTATGTTTCACTTGAGATGATATTTGTTTCCTTTCCTCAACTCTAATAGTTCTGTCAGAAGACTCTGAAGCACAGTGCCAAGAGGTTATACCATAAGCTATCTCTCCTGCTACCAAGTAGCCACCTGTCTGTCTCCACTATTACATTGTAAACTCCATGAGGGTACTGTTTGATTTGCTGAAGGCTTTACTTTGTGATTCAGTGTTCCTTGCCATCTCTAATTCTGTCGTCATTCTCAGTATCTTCAGCATTTTAATGTATGATCCATCCAACTTTTTTTTTTTTTTTTAATTTTTCCATGGGGTGGATGTGCTCACCAGAGAGAGGCAGAGACAGGGAAAGTAAGAAGTCATACCCCCAGGAAGGATGGCCATGCCACAATCCCTTCTCTATTCTCCTGAGATTTCGGGAGTCCACACACATATTCCTGGTATATGTATCAAGCTGCTAGGTCCAGGATTCAAACTGCTGTGGGCCACCTGGGAATCCAGTGCCGTAACTAGCATGTCACCTGCTGGGTTCTCCACGCAACAGTTTTAGAGTCAAAATACTTGGTTGCTTGCCCTGGAGTGATTCCGTCCTGTGCGGGTGTTTTCAGGAGCCATAGTCGTTCACCCCCATCTGCCTTCTTGCCCACCCAAGTGTGTGCCATCACCCCATGGAATATTCAGTGGACATAGACATGAGCCTCCTGAGGCCCCAGAACTATCTTTTTGGTTGTGAACTAAAGGCCGACAATGATTATCACTTTAAAGTGGACAATGATGAAAATGAACACCAGTTATCTTTAAGAACGGTCAGTTTATGGGCTGGTGCAAAGGATGAATTGCACATTGTTAAAGCAGAGGCAATGAATTATGAAGGCAGTCCAATTAAAGTAACACTGGCAACACTGAAAAAAAATACAACCAGTGGTTTCCCTTGGGGGCTTTAAAATAATCACCTGTGGCCTTAAGGTTGAAGTGTGGTTCAGGGCCTGTGCATATTAGTGGACAGCACTTAGTAGCTGTGGAGGAAGATGCAGAGTCAGAAGAAGAAAAGGAAGAGGACGTGAAACTCCTAGGTATATCTGGAAAGCAATCTGCCCTGGAGGTGGTAGCAAGGCTCCATGGATGGAAAAAAGTAAAACTTGCTGAAGAAGATGATGATTTTGAAGATGAAACGAAGACAAAGCTGCAGTGAAGAAATCTACATGAGATACTCCTGGCAAAAATGCTCAGAAATCAAACCAGAACAGAAAAGACTCAGAACCATCAAGATCAAAAGGTCAAGACTCATTTAAAAAACAAAAGAACTCCTAAGACACCAAAAAGACCTAATTCTGTAGAAGACATTAAAGCAAAAATGCAAGCAAGTATAGAAAAAGGTGATTCTCTTCCCAAAGTGGAAGCCAAGTTTATCAATTATATCAAGAATTGCTTTCGTATGACGATCAGGAGGCTATTCAAGATCT